AATCTAATAGTAGAAATTCTGGCAACATGAGCATAAGTATCAAAGAAATCAATGCCTTCCTTTTGTCTAAAGCCTTGGATAACCAATCTGGCTTTATACTTATCAATTGTGTCATCCACTTTCATTTTTCTTTTGAGGATCCATTTACATCCTAATGCCTTGCAACCAGGAGGTAAATCAGCCAATACCCAAGTATTGTTATGCATGATAGAATCAATCTCATCATGAATGGCCTCTTTCCAGAAATGAACATCCCTAGAAGCCATAACTTCACTGAAAGTCTTTGGATCCTCTTAAATATTAAAACAATTTTGATGTTGAGAAATAGTCTCATTCCTTGTTCCTTCAACTAAATATAGTTGAAAATCAGATCCAAAAGATTTAGCTTTTCTAGCTCTAGTACTCTTTCTAAGTTCAGGCACATAACTTGTACCACCAGAATCATCTCCAGCTTGAGATGTGCTCTTGCTGAAAGATTGTTGAATTATGTCCCTTGGTCTAGGTATAGATGTAAATCTTTCTTCATCAAAGATAGCATCTCTTGACTCTATAACAGTGTTTACAGAAACAGAGTCATTAGATTCTAAAACATAGAATCTATAAGCTTTGGAATGCTCAGCATATCCAATAAAGATACAATCTATACCTCTTTCACCCAATGTTTTCCTTTTGGGTTCAGTAAGCCTTACAACTGCTCTACAACCCCAAACTTTGAGATAACTCAAATTTGGTACCTTTTTACACCAAAGTTCATAAGGAGTATTCTTACTCCTTTTATTTGGAGTTCTATTCAAGATGTAACATGCAGTTAACATTGCCTCACCCCAAAATCCTTCACTTAATCCAGAATAAGACAACATGGAATTAACCATTTCTTTCAAAGTCATATTCTTCCTTTCAGCTACACCATTTTGTTGTGGTGTATATGGAGCTGTGGTTTGATGTATTATTCCAAATGATTCAAAAGAAACTGGATCATAATACTCACCACCTCTATCAGTATGCAATACTTTTATTAATTCATTTTTATGAAGCTCAACTTGTTGTTTATAAATTTTAAATTTATCAAGTGCTTCATCCTTAGAATGTAACAAATAGATATAACAATATCTAGATGCATCATCAATAAAAGTAACAACATACTTCTTGTTTCCAAGGGAAGGTGTTGCATGGAAATCACATAAATCACTATGTATAAGATCCAACACCTTGCTTTCCCTAACAACATCTTTGAAAGGTTGTCTAGTGATTTTAGTTAGCATGCATGTTTTACATTTTTCATTATTTTGCATATTAAAAGCAGGAATTAAATTCATTTTAGACATGTCTTTTAATCTCTTGTAATGAATGTGTCCTAGTCTAGCATGCCATAATTCAGATTTATGAATATTATTGCTAGTACTACTAGAAGCCATGCAAACAGAATTATCACTAGAAGGATAATTAATATTAAGCCTAATCATTCCATTACATATATAGCAAAATCCCATAAAAGAACCATGTCTTGACAAGATATACTTGTCACTTTCTAACACTTGTTTGTAACCACAATTATTTAATATAATTTCAGACACGAGATTCTTACGAATCCCTGGAACATATAAAACATTGTTCAAACACAAACATTTCCCAGAAGTAAAAGTAAGTAAAACAGATCCTATGCCCTTGATTGGTTCAGTTGCAACATTTCCCATCTTCACAACAGATCCATCTTCAACTGGTTGAAAGTCCTTGAACCAATATAGATCTTTGCAAACATGACTTGTTGCTCCCGAATCAACCCACCATGCAAAATTATCATCCTGCACATAAAATGCTTCAGAAATCACAGAAATATAATTCTAAATATATTTAGAATTCTGCATGAAAACATAAATCTGGCCTTGTTGCTTTTCTGGATCCTTGGATCCACTTGGTCCAACACAATCCCTGTTCACTTTGCGAAGACGACAATCTTTCTTGAAGTGACCCGGTTTGTTACAATTCCAACAAACCAACTTAGCCTTCTTGTTTGAAGACTTGTCATCCTTTCCTTTAAACTTCCTTTTTCCATTAGACTTCTTGGGATTCTTTGAACTTTCTCCTTCCACCATGTTCACGAAGAGGAACCAACTTGGTTCTTGCCTTTAGGATTGTTATCAAGTTCTTGAGTCCTTATGGACTCTTCAATCCTTAAATGGCTTCCAAGTTGAGTCAAAGTCAATTCCTCTTTGTTATGTTTTAGATTGTGTTTAAAATCCTTCCAGGAAGGGGGCAGTTTGTCAATGATCACAGCCACAGAAATGGCTTCATCCATTTTCAGATTGTGTTGAGCAAACTGTCCCAAAATCCTTAACATTTCATGGATTTGTTCCATAACAGGCCTGGAGTCAATCATCTTGTAACCCATAAAGTTACTAACAAGAAACTTCTTACTAGAAGCATCTTCAGCCATGTACTTGGATTCAAGAGAATCTCACAGTTCTTTTGCAGATTCGAAATTTTGATAGATATCAAAAAGAGAGTCAGACATACCATTGAGAATATGACCACGACATATGTAATCATCATTTTCCCACTTTGATCTTCTTATAGTCGCCTCCAAAGGTTTATCTTCAACAGATTCTGGTAAGACTGGCATGGGTGTACTCAGAACATACACCACTTTCATAGTGGTAAGGAGAAACTTCATCTTCTTCTGCCATCTACGAAAATCTTGCCCTTCAAATTTGTTCAGTTTTTCAAACTTACTTGTCATTTCCTTCACAGAATCACCATTTGCCATGATCACAGAAAATACTTTAATCTTTGTAAGAATTGGGGTATAGAAAAGGCTTGGAAATTCTGAGAATTATGGTTTCACTTTCAGATTAAAGTATTTGGGTGGTACTCCCAATCTTTAATCGGATAAAACTCAGAATTGAGAAATCAGAAGAGAGAATGTTCAAGATGTTATGAAGAAGAAGAGTACCAACAATAGATTTCGGATATGATCATATAACCAGAAAAACTTCCAGTCTTAAAGCTGCCACATGACAGTTTTATGTCCTAAAACTGTCAAAACGTCATAAACTAACTTAAATTCGGGTCTCGAATATGGATCACAAAACCAGGTACATTTACCAAAATTCCGGATTTCTGATGCATTTTTAATATAGTAACATAACATATATAAAAAATTTCCGCGCTGACCCCAGCCAGGGGCTGCCGCCCCTTGGACCCCGCTCCCAGGGGCGCTGCCCCCGAACCCCCGTCGGTTCAGGGGCTTCACCCCTAAATAGCAGTATACTTTCAACAAAGACAAAATTAAACAAATGTGCACTCCGCACCATACAGATTTGTTCAATAATTGTCAAAAGTGACATTTATCAACAAATTAACCCCATTACACTTAAATAACATTAGTGATATAAAATCACCAACAATCAAGCCACTAGATCACATCCATGGGGCCAAAAAGGAACCAAAACTCATAAATGATAGATCTAAGACATCCATGATCAAGATTAAAGCTTTTTACCTCAAACAAGCTGGAAATGAAGCACATAATCAAGATCCACAAGCTCTTCTTTGATCCACAACCTTGCACCAAACTCCATCTTCTTGGAAATGGCCCAAAAACACCAAAATACACATAATGAACTAAAAAACACCACCATGGAGGCTAAGGGACGATTTCTAGGGTTTTGGGGACTTGGAGGCTAGTAAAGAGACCAGCCAAAAAGACTTAATGTGCTTATATAGGGTACACCATCCAAATTAGGGTTTTCACTTTACCCCTCGTACGCCCCGCGTACTCCTCGTACACCCAGCGTACGGGGTCTCGTACCCCCTATCAAACCCTCGCAGTACTCTAAGTGTACGCCACATTACGCCCAATGTAATTCCCTTCGCATCAGTACGCTGCGCGTACTCCCTACGTACACCCCGCATACTAGGGTTTCCCTTTAAACCCTTAAGCACTCCGAAGGCCATAACTTCTTCGATATAAACCCGATTTCGACAATACATATATCCATGAAAAGGTAGCATGAATCTCTACGCTTTAGTCAACTCATACTTGCCTTACCCTATCCTGATCAAACATCCATTTTCCATAGAAGCCTGAGATGACATATTACCAAAATACCCTTTGGCTCCAAACCACAAGGTAAATACCCAGACCATCCAAATTACATCTTCCATACTCCAAATGAGTCCAAATCTCAATTCTTCAAGGGTCCTAAGTCTGCTAATACCCAATCCTTGATCACCACCCCGAAATGGGAAACAATTGGAAACAGGGCGTTACAGCAATGGAGGTTCAAATCGGGATGACTTTGGACGTGGCCGAGGAGAGGTCGTAGACTTGGGAAAATTCGACATGGTAATGAACGTGTCCGGGATAAAATTCATGTTAAATGTTACAAATGTGGAGAGTTTGGTCACTACAACAACGAGTGTCATAATTAAATGGGAGAAACAATAGGAAAATCTACTCGAAGAGGAATCGACACTAACGTTAACGAGTGGTATGACTAAACCGATTAAGGGGGTGGTTGTTGGATTAATCGGTTACCAGGAAAACTTTTTTTTTAGGATTTGTTTTAGGGAAAATGACACAAATGCCCTATTAAGTTTCTAGGGTTTACCTATTTAGCCACTTAACTTATTTTGTGGCTTTATGAGGGAACGAACTCATTTTTGTCGGGTCGATTACGTCCTTTTTGAAGTATTGAAGGGGTAAATCGGTCACAATTTTGCCACATCATTTATTAAGGACACGTAACTATACCCCACACCCCATTGTCGTCTTCTTCCCCTCCTTATTTCTCAAATAGATACCTGCAACATTAAAACTCATTATCAACACCATCTCCTTCTTTTAATTCTTCCACTCAACCAAATCAATAGACTCACCACCACCACACACACCCCGCAACCTAAGAACACTCTTCCTTCTAAACCTAAAACCCCTCTCTCCCTTCACGATCTCCTCGTCCTTTCGCCTTCCCCTGCCAAGAGATCAAAAACCAGACTTGATGTCTCTGGGGAGGTTACCGACCTATATGGGTCTCATCACTGCTACAACAACCAATTTCCTAATATCGGTTCCACCCAGAAACACTAGAAGACACATGTGGCGAATAGAAGAGATTCGAGAGGATAAAGATCTGGTTGTTGTTGATGAGTCCATCGTTGTTAACAACAAACCAAAGAAAAGGAGACATAGTGGTAGATCGAAGAAGGAGAAATCGATTTCTTTCTGTTTCATTCCATCCCCAAGTAAGAAAAAACAAATTTATCTTGCTTCACTTCAGGTTCTGATCTAGGGTTCTATTGATTTACTTTTCATATTGATTGTATTATTATTTCAAGAGGAAACGACGAGGATAACGGGTACACTTTCGATCAAATCAGAGTCTTGATAAATGATTTGATAACGTGGAATGATGTTGCAAAATCAATCCTCTGGTTTGGTTCGGTTCACTATGTTTTTTTCTTCATATTTCACAACAGACATTAGCTTTAGGTAAGTCAAGCACTTTTACCCCTTTTGAATTTTACAAACTTCAACACCACTCAAAGATTTGATTTTCGTTTTAAGCATGCTTTCTTCGATATCTCATCTGGGTCTACACCTTTTGAATTTCTCAAATTCCATTATCTAAAGGTCATAAAGCAAGAGAAACCTTAAGCTTAAAGAAGATGGCATTCTAAAAGCTGATGTGCCAAATACCGTGATCAAATTGTATTTAGTGGAGCCGGTAAGTGTGCAGATGGTGTATTTGTCGATGTCGGAGGAGCTGGTACAGTGGCAAGTGGAATTGAAGCATGTGTTGACTTTCAAAGTAGTTAACCAGCGAAATTAAGGTCCAAGTTTGAATGTTGACTTGAATGATGTGGCAAATAATGTAGACGTGTCAAGGAAATCGGTTAAAACAAGTCTAGGGGACTAAATAGACAGGTTGCCCACAAATTCGTTCCTTTATAAAGCCACAAAATAAGTTAACTGATTAAATGGGTAAACCCTAGAAACTTAATAGGGCATATATGTCATTTTCTCTTTGTTTTATGTCTAGTTTAACTAGGGGTATTTTAGCAAAACTTTGATTATAGACATTGCTTTTCCTAGTTTTGGTATTAGAATATGCTTCTATTTTTTTTTAGTATAAATATATGTCAAGTTTCAGTTTGTTAATTGAATAAAAAATCACAGCAAGTTTGGTTTTTTTTTTGTGCTTTGTACGATGTCCACAAGAGGATCAAGAAGTTAATCCATTCAATTCTCTTTTGCTTCTTTTTTTACCTTGGTGCACAAGGTTTTAATAACAGCCTTTTGTTTACAAACATCATTGCCTAAGCATATAGTTCAATAAGCCTAAGCACCTTTTCTCTTTCCAAATTTTTACGATGCTTGATTTATTAAGGGTGTGTGCCGTCACACATCCTGCAACACTTCAGGACGGACCTGGTCTATTAATTTATAAAGAAATAGATATATAAGGAATTTTTTTTTTTAAACGGAAAATCTAACCTACTCCTTAAATCCACCTATGTCCACGACGGTACTTGAACCCTCAACCCCAAAGAGGGAGGACAACACCGGATACCGCTGGGCTAGAAGCCCACATTGTGCGCGGAAGTACTGACGAGCATGAGTCGGGGAAAATATAGCGACAATTAGGATTTTAGTAAAATATTTGGAGGCGGAGGGTGATCGTGAGAGTTGAGAGCCGGAAGAAGGACCGAAAGAAATTTCCACAAATTTTAGGGTTTTTTTATGTATGAAAAATACAAAAGGTAAACATGTAATTTCTACTAAGTTTAGTTATTCTTGAGAGCTTCACGAGTTATATATTTTAATATTTGAGGTCGACTCAATAACATATTATAAAAACCTCCAATCAAATAAAATGTGATTGATTTTGAGTCGTGTATCTCAACAGTTAACTCCATTCGTTTACATCCATAAATAGATGGGGGGGGGGGGGGGGGGGGGAGGGGATGAAAGGATGGTGATTAATTAATAATAGGTTGAATAATTATTGGATAAGTATAATAAACAAACCAATAATAAAAATAAATTATAATATCAACTAGGGACAATAGAGTAATTATAGATCAAATATCAAATAAAGTAAAATGATAGTGACCAACACCGTATAATAAGTTGAAACCATAAGGATAAACCATGTAACAAAATATATTTAAAGTAAAATTTTGAATTTTTGTAAAGTATGGACCATTTTTTAAAACCTATTCAAACTAATATAATGGTTGGCTGATGGTAAATATGGAAAAAGTTAAGAAACGAGGGGCCTGGGATGTAAAAATGAGAAACCGAATTGGAGTCAACATCCAAAAGATCAGGAGATGAAGACGTTAGCCGTAAGAATGTTTACCACCTCCGAAAACTACGCCGATATCCCTTATAAATATAGATCTAAGAACTCTCTCTTCAGTCCCACAGACACGAGAGCGGATCTTAAAGAAAGAAAGTTAAGCATTAATGGTTTCAAAGGGATAACCGAAGGAAACTTTCAGTGGGCATTCTATCTTCTTCTTATTTTGGCGACGGTTTAAGGTAATTAATACTTGTAATTCATAATATAATTGTTAAGGTTGCTTGGCCTAGCTAGTTTAGGTACAGAAAAAACAATGGCACCTAAAGATCACAGTGGAAAAATAAAATAAAAATTAAAGGCATTGATCACCGGAAATTGTGGTAGAAAATTGCGAAGGTTTGCCGGAGAAGAAAGATATCTCAGCGAACTGTTGCCATTAGCCCAAACAGAAAAGAAAAAATTTGAGCTATGAAAGTGTGTAAAAATTTCAAAGTATATGTTTACCAAGCCTCTCAATTCATCAGGTGGCGAATCCAAAATTAAAATCCAATTAATTATAATTTTATTAATTAACAAAGAAAAAAAGATAATTTAAAACATCATAGTCAGATGATTCAACGTTTTAGAATTATTCACGAGGAGTTTTCATGATTTGAACATCTATAAATATATTGTTGCTAACTATATCTAACCCATATTTTGTAATAACTTTTTTTTCGCATGGCACATACCCTAGATTTTTTAAACTTTTAGTTTATTTTTATTTTCTTAATTTAAACTTCAAGTGTTATTTATTTATTTTTGTTTTAATACAAAGCAGGAATAGACCAAAGTTTTTTTTTCAAACGGAGGAGGAAAAAAATTCACATTGAACAAAACAAATAAATTAAACCTTTAAAAATAGTAATGTGTATTGTTATTGATTATAGTCAAGCAATTGAGAACTCAAGTTCACAATCACAATTGCATATATATATTATTTTAGAGGAACAAAACTATTTTTTCTAATAATAAATTCATTCATATAAAAATTAACAATAAATAAAAATAACCATGCTAAATAAATAATGTCAAACTCATTCAAATATACAGATTTAAATATTTTATTATATTAACTAAATGGTTATTTAATTAAAATAAATTAAATAAGTTACCGGTCCAATAATCCAAACCCATTTACCTAATATTCCAGTTAGATTTGGGGTCCTTCAAATAAAAAGATTTGGGGTCCTTCTAATGTTTTATTTGTTATAAAATACTATAAGAATGGAACAGTGCGTGCATAAAACTGTCGTGATACGTTTTTTGAGAAGTTTACAAAATTTTTTTGGGATATGTGTTTTATATGTACGTTTTACATACTATATTATTATTAGTGCATGCTTAATTGATCGTACGCATGCATACAGGTTCAGAGAGTCAGAAAGATCTATCCATGGTGATCAAACCAGTAGCCCCGGTCTTGCTTTTTGTCCTACTCCAATACTCATCAGCAAAGGTTACATATAACGTCCTAAGTTTTGGAGCAAACGCAAACGGCTTCATAGACTCAACAACTGCATTCCTTAATGTATGGAATTTGTCCTGTGCCTCTACTAATCCCGCCATCATCTATGTGCCCAAAGGCAGATACCTAATTTCGTCTGAGCTCACATTCTCCGGCATAACATGTAAGAGCAAAGCCATCAGATTCAACATAGATGGTACTTTGGTGGCCCCCTCCAACACGTATAATGCTATCGGCAACACCGAAGTTTGGATTAAGTTGTACAGAGCTAACAACGTTACCATCTCCGGTGGAATCCTGGACGCCAACGGCGCTCCTCTATGGAACTGCAAATCCTCTGGAAAGAAAACATGCCCCAGAGGAGCTACGGTAGGTACTCACATGCATGCATGCATGCAACACTTTATAATATGTAACTTTTTAACAATGTTTTGTAATATTCTTGTTTCTATAATTAAGATTAATTATTGTATATTGTTATGAACATTGCAGACATTTGGCATCTACCATTCCCAAAACATAGTGATCAGTAATATGAAGTCATTAAACAGCCAAATGCTCCACATTATTCTCTATGCATGCAACAACACCAAGCTAGAAGGCGTGAATATTTCAGCACCAGAGCGCAGCCCTAACACAGATGGAATCCATTTAATGAATTCCAAAGATGTTACGATCTTGAATTCTAAGATATCAACAGGGGACGACTGCATTTCGATAGGCCCTGGTAATTCAAATCTCTGGATAGAGAAGGTGGTGTGTGGCCCTGGTCATGGCATAAGGTACAGTTTTTGTCTTTTTTGTATATAAGTAACACTATCATTGATTCATTCATGGAGTCTAATATTGAATTACGTTGATGTAATACGCAGCATTGGGAGTCTAGGTTGGGAAGAGAATGAAGCGGGAGTCCAGAATGTAACAGTAAAAAACGCAACACTTATAGGTAGTCAGAATGGTTTAAGGATAAAGACATGGGCGAGGCTTAGCAATGGATTCGTGAAGGATGTTGTTTTCCAACATGCAAGTATGGAGAACGTGAGAAATCCGATCATAATTGATGCAAATTACTGCCCTCACAAACAGAAATGCCCCAATCAGGTTACAGGAGTGAAGATCAGCAACGTGGTGTATGAGGATGTACATGGAACATCAGCAACCCGAGTGGCAGTGAAATTTGATTGTAAAAAGGGGAAGCCATGCACTGGGATCAGATTAAAGGATGTTAACCTACAATATGAGGGCCAACCTGCGGAGTCATTTTGCTCCTATGTTGATGGTACTGCTTCTGGATTACTCCAACCTACAAGCTGTCTCTAGATGAACTACTTGTTTCAAGGACATAACTTTAAGTACTTTATGTTGGAAAATATGATTTTTCTTAGTTTAGAATTTTCGCAATTTTATTCACTAACTTTGGACATGATTAGTGCATATTACATGTACATCCATGTTGGTAACAAATGGTTAACATTAGTGGTAAAACGTAGTTAGAAAACATCAATGCGTTAATATTATATTTTTAATTCTATAGTACTTACTATTTATTAATAAAAATATATATGATTATGAAATTGTGTTGGAATTGTAGTCATTTGTTTGCACTTTCATATGTGAATTTGTAATATGTAATTGTAATTAATTTTTTTATTTGGACAGCTGTAATTAACCAATTATGTTTTTTTCTTTAGGTAGGTTATTTTATATATATATATATATATATATATATATATATATATATATATATATATATATATATATATATATATATATATATATAAAAGTTGTGTTCGTATGAATATTAAAGCCAACTATATATGTGGTTTTGTTAAATTTATAAATTTTATGAATTGTTTGATGTTTGAGATTAGGTTGTCATGTGAAGTACATAATGTTGTGTTATAATGATCTCATGAGAACAAAGTAATGAGAACATAAAAAGGACAATTTGATGGTATATTCACGATTTTGTTTTAAAATAGATCAAATAATTTCTCATTTACAAAATATGAACAACTAACAAAATACTTTAAATGGTAAAAAAAATAACAATATGTGATTTTAAAAAAAAAAGTTTTGGTTTAAAACAAGTATTAATATACGAACCTGATAAACAACAAATTTATTGTGAAGACTGAAATGTCATTTGAACTATTCAAAAAAGAAATTGTTACTTTATTTCTTTAATTGGGGTGCATCAAAGGGTAAATTACTTATTTCATTATGAATTTATGTTTTGAATGGGAGGAACAATGTCACAATTCATAGTCATAGCATTTTTTTATTCAAAAGAAAATAAGAAATATAATTTTTTTATATAAAATATATTTCACTTCAAATTTGTCTGGGGTGGGCCAAGACTCACTGTTGCACCCACCCATATAGTTAGGCCTCTGCATGGATCCTGTTCTAACAACTTTTAGCAACAAATAAAATATTTACTTCTTGTAAATAAAGGTAGATCCAATTTCTCCTTATTTTTGGATAACTATGATAGTCCACAATAACACCCGTCGATGCTATAGCACATCAAGATTATGATCTTAGCAACAAGATGACAAACTTTTTTATTCTTTTTCACTACAAACAAAATGATATTTAGTGGCATGTTTGTTTTGTGTTACTATGTTATGTCTTTAGTAGCATATTTTAAATATCACTTTAAAATAACATATGTAATAACCTAATTGGTTTTAACCCCAACAATCATCTCTAAAAATTTAAACCATGTGCTTTCAATCGTCCCCAAAATTTTAAAAGGGAATGAAGACCTCGCTCAATCACAAAAGTTAAAACATCCACTACTCCAGCCAATGCACATTATAGTAGGGGTGAGACCACCACCCAAATCGAGATGGAGACCAGTGGGTTAGATATCAACAACTAGGAATTCAAGAGTCAGTGCAATGTAGCGAGAAGAAAGTTGGTGATTCACAGGCGAAGCTCGATTTGTACAACAATGGTGTTTGATAGTTTTAGGTAACATGCCTCTTTCAAGTAGGTTTAAACCTATAGTTTCGTTTTATGTATGAATTCCATATGTTCAGGAAATATGCGCTAGAATTAAAAACAAAACAACTGTTTTTTATGGTTAAACAGGCATGGAGTTTTGGGTGAAATTTGTATGAAGTTGAACATATTTGTAACTATGTAATTACAATCCTTTCATTTTCAACTCGAAGTCCTAGGCACCCAATTTGTGGCTTGATTCATTGGAGATGTGTGGATCTTAAGCACATATTAAATTTGTTTATTAATTATTAATTACTATAGATTAAATATGAATAACTAGTGGTTGAAATAATTAGGGAAAATTAGTAATCTAACCATAATGTAAGGTGGATTTATAAAAAAAATAACCAAATCTTTTTATTTTTGGAAAATAACCATCAAGTCCGGAATGGAGATTCCAGACCGAAGAAAAAACGTTTACAAAAAAATACATTATAGACTAACAATCTGGATTTCGAACAGAAATATAAGAGTTTGTAAAAAAACTCTAAAATTTCAAGAACAAGTTTGAAATGCAATAAACAATTCTGGAATTTCGAAAAATAAGTTGTTTTGTTCTAAAATCTAACAAGATGTTAAACTAACATAGTGAATAGCAAATATATATAGGATACTATATGTTAAATGTGAATTGAGCATTTGGAATTCAATAGAGTATTTGAGTGAACGTGTTATATCAACTTAGTATAATAATTATTATTTAAAAGTTAAAACAACACCGTTATATTAAAAAAACATTTATTTGAAAATATTTCAATTTTATAATTGTATTATGCACATGTAACGTCCGCGTTTTGCACTAACACATTAATATACATGTAACTGACGTTGGTCAAGGATTTTAATCTTTTATGAATAAATAAAAGAAATTTGTTTGAATATATGTGATTTATGTGTGCATATAATATTAGGTGAAAATTTAATAAATATGGATAAAAAAATATTAAAAATAAATATTAATTAGGATAAATAGCTTTGATGAACATTGAAGTAGTCATGAAGATGATTTCGAAGATATAAGGAACGCTTAAATCTAACTTCGTATGAAATAGTTATGATTCGTCGAAATTTCGCGTTCAACGCAACGACTTCAAGTGTCGTAAATAGTGAAACAGATATGGATCACTTATTAGCCTTAGTAATTTAAACAAAAGTCGTAGTTAACATAAAAGCAAACGCATACATATAGAGAACGTCTATATCTGACTTCGGATGAGGAAGTTATGATTTTTCAAAGTTTCAGTAGAACAGTGTACGACACAGAAACCAAAATGGAGATTGGTCGATTGTTAGGCAAAACAATCTAAATGAGAATCGAAGATCTCGTGAATAGGAATTCGTCAATATAAAGACAGTCAAGAACGGACGCCGTATGTAAGAGTTATATTTTTTATACGGAATTTAATAGTCTAAGCCGGTTAAAAATATAACTTTAAAAATAAAGTGAGAATTAACCGACAGTCTCTAAACAAAAGTAATAGATATCATCCATACCTACGCGTTCATATAAAGGACGTCGAAAACAGAGTTCGTATAAAGAAGTCATGAATTTTTGAATAATCTAAAAAATTGGGGAGTGCAGGCGCTTCTAGAAGGGGCCACGCGGACCAGAGGAATCGCGACATGTGCCAGCAAGCTGGAGGATCGACGTCGCTACAGGGCGCGACGTGCCTCTATGGTGTGCAATGCGCCTTCTTTGATTTCGTATAAATAGTTGCTTTGTGTCACTCTCTTCCTCACACCTTCACCAAATCACTCTCTCTCAAACTTTCACATCTCTAGTCCGAAAATTTTCTAGTATTTGGGATATTTTAGCTAGCTCAGAGGTCTCTAAAATCCCAGAAATTAGAAGCTGTCAAGTCGGAGTTCTGCCAGTACAATTTCCGAACTTTTGTTAGGAAAATCTCTATAAGTTAAGCTACACTTATTTTATATCAAGTGTAACTTATCTTTATAATCATAGTTGTTGTTATGAATTTATAAATAAGATTTGTCAATGATTCCAAGTCATATTACTGATTGATCTAATTACAGGGGTGATATCTAGTCTAAATTTTGTAAAGTGTTTAAAGTGGGACTTCCAAACAGTATACTTTGTATACCAAACAGACTCTACCTCCGATATGATGTTACCTGGTTGCTCCTTACTTGATAGATCTTGATGTAGACATTGATATTGTTGAGGAATCTAGACTATCATTAGTGGCCAGGAATATGAGACTAAGACTCGTGATATATACGTAGGTCACCAGAAAAGCTAACTGCTAAGGCGAAGCGTTGCCCAAATTCTGAGGCATCCACTTTTAACCAGTGAGTGCATAGTCACTTTCATCATACACATAGATATGAAGTATTTAACTGATTAAATGTTATGTGTGCCCATTAGATGTAACTTTAATACTTGTATTGCTTTACTTGTTAGAATATATTTTGATATAATATTAAATTATTATTTTGTTATACCATAATGGGTAGAAAAGGGGTGTGAAAGGTGAAATAATAAAAGGGTGAGGGTGTTTAGGTACTAATTGTACCAAGGGTAAATTATCGTCTAGCAACGTATAAATGACGACCACGAACTATTATACACAGTCCAGGTGTTAATGAACTATACGTTCATTCGGTGTACTATATCCCCCTATAGTTGCCTTATGGACATGTATTGCCAATAATCCCCAAGGCGACAATTTCTACTCGTTTCTCACAGGTGATCCCTTGAGATCATCATTTTAGAATTTGAGAATGAGAATAACAGGGATGGGTAATTGGGTTATTTGTTGGTGAAATGTATACTTAAAATTAATTATATTATTGTCGGTTGAAAACTCTATGTACTCATCAAGCCTTACCCGCCTGACCCACTTAGTTTCTTTGTATCACATGTAGCGGTACGAAAGCAAAAGTGTGATGAGTTTAAATCTAAGGAGATATTTAAGGAGTATAGGCCAATAGAATAATAAATTGTTGTAAGGCCTATAATATTTAGTTTATGCTTATGTTTTTAAATATCAGTTATGGCATCCTAAGTTTTTAAAATACGAATGCAAAGCATTTCTTCGAAAATGCTTAAATCATGTTTTGGGACAATTTCTGCATATATACATTCCTTTAAAGAATACTTTGATTTAAATAAGCAAAAATAAAAGGTCTTTTTCAGACCGTGAAATTGGGGATGTCACAGCACAACACACGAATATTTGTCTAGTATCTACTATAAATGAAACCAAGAGTAAATCATATTAATTTTATATTTTAAATTCTTTATAATAATTATTTTAAATTAATTACTTATTTATTAATTTAATATT